GTCCACTTTGGAAGCGGGATTGATTCTGCCTCTGATACCCAGGCTTCCTCAGGTAGTGCCCTGCCACAAATGCTTCGAGGTTATTTGAATATAAAGCCCTGAATGTGAACTGCTTTTCTTGCAGCCTTCACAGGCAATATTCGTATACAGAAAGTAGAATGCTGTAACTCATTAACTCGTTTTACAATAAACAGATTCAGTTTTGTATTGCAGTACAAATAGCATCATTCTACTTTGATCTAATAACTAATAAACTTGAATTTATTAGTTATTGTTAGAAATTAGGACCATATTTGAGGACCACTTTCTTGAAGCCCTTTTGGGTGATGATATATGGGAGTGAGTTACTGGGTTGGCTATTCAGTGTGTTATCAGCTACAATTTCATTGCAATTTCATAAAATTCTTCATTTCAGAAATCGCAGGAGAGGTACCATAGTAAAAACAAACCCCAAGCTGCTGTAACAAGTAAGTTAAGAAGTGTAAACCTAACGCTTCTAAGTTAAGCCTTTGTTAATCCCCTAAGTTAATCACAGGACTGATAACACAAACTTTCCTGCATCATTTATTTTTCTATTTTTCGTTTCAATATCTGTAAAAAAGTGTGTGTGTTTCTAATACAAGTAGGATTTTTTGAAGAAATTACTGTTGAATTAACTCATCTTCTGCTAAAATGAGTGGGAGATTTATGATGTTTTGTTTTCAGTGAGAATAAAAATCAAAAGTAGTCAGTTCTGTCTTGTGCTTTTGAGTATGTCATTCAGCATATGCACAAATATTTGGGTCTCCTATGTTCAGGTTGCAATGTTAGAGCACATATTATTTCTTCTCAATAGTATACATGCCAGAGCTATTCCACTTTGCCTACAGGTTTGTGTTCTGATACGGCATCACGGTCTTGTACCATGGCAAGCGGATATTCTTGATACCCAGTATAGCTCAATATGAACACCAGATAGCATTTCTCCGTATAAGTGTGCTGTTGATGATATACTCTACATTGTTTGTCAAAATGTTTTGTTGTGCTTTTGCCTTACAGATTCCCTGCCTGGAGACATGTCACAGGCAGTGCTTTTCCCAGTGCATCCTTCTTCCTCTATGCCTATCGGACTGTCGGCTGGAAGGAGGGAAGTCTCGCAACAGTCCCACTTCTTGTCCAAAAGTGTCCCCAGTGCCAGTTTTGAAAGGTAGAGGGCAGCTGCTGGGGGACTGTGCTAAATACATAATTCAGCATCTCTAGGAAAATTGAAACCATTAAATAAATGCGGGGATTTTCTTTTTTTTCTGCTGTAGAAGATCTATGCCATTTTCTGAACAAGACTCTGAGACTAACACCTGGAGGCCCAAGTCACGCTCTGTAGAGATGTTACAAGCATTAGGGAGCTTTCCTTCAATGGATCCTTTTATGATGGAAGGTGAGAAGTATTGCATGGGCGTTGCATTTTATAACCTGTATTAAAAAGCAGAAAGTAGAAAAACTCCATAGTTGATACAGGAAGCTACTTCATCTCCTAAAAGAAGAGCACCTATTTTTGATAATTACAATTATATTCCTCATTAAAATGATACAATCAGATACAGTAGTCTTAAAATACAACTTTTCCTTTCTTGCTTGTAACTGACTCTTTGATAACTTTTAAAATATTTTTGTATGGTGTTACCATCTTAAAATAATAGGGATAAATATATTTGGCATCCTTGCAGAACCAGGACAGCAACATAGTTTTCTTCTGTACTCATCTAATCATCTCCATTGAAACTGCAAAATGTAAACCTACATCACTTGTATTTCCTCAGTAGCCCCAAAATCTTACCTCCCACTCATGAGCTGCCCTCCTAAAATGGCTACATATTCTTGTGAAGTGAGTGGAAATAGGCTTTTTCTGTAGCCAGGTGTGAGACTGAATTTCAAAGCTGAAGGGCATTCACTTACAAAGGATGGCACAGATATCTCTCTCTGGACATCTAGTTTTGAAAATGTTGGATTTTATTTTTAAATTTTAAAAGGTTTCCTCAAGCAAAGCAGTATAAAAAGGATTTAATCTGAGAAGAGTGGTTTTTTTTTATTCTTCTCCCCTGCTGTCACATTTGCATTTCAGCATGTTGGTAATGATATTGACATCTGGCAAGCTTCTCAGTTGTAACACCACTGCCAATGTTTGCAGAAGCCTTGTCTAAAGTTCATCCCTGTCATGTGTTCCTCTTAGTATATAAATGGATCTGCATGTTCCAAGGGACTTTCCTTACTGTTCATATTCCTGGCGTTAATGAGATATTACATTTTGTCATAGAGGATGTGGATTTGTCTCAGTGGACTGATCTCCGCACAGATGCACAAGAGTTTGAGGCAGAGTCCTGGAGTCTCGTTGTGGATCCAATGTTCTGTAGCAAACAAGAAAAGGATGTCATCAAGAGGCAGGATGTCATTTTTGGTCAGTATTTCAACGCTTCGTGTAGGTTTTAAAACAATGTGGTGTAGAAAATAGAGAGGGAACCTCCACATTTTATGTCCAGAAGAATGAATGCTCAACTTGGAATAATAAGAAGGTTCAAAGGACATTTTTGTCACAATTACAATGTGTCGTAGAGATAAGGAAATGGAGAGTAGTGACTACTGGAGATATGTCTGCCCTATTCACAGAACGGTTGAGGTTGGAAGGGACCTCCTCCATTCCCCAGCTTAAGCTGTTGCAACCCCAGCGTGGTCAGCAGGGTACAGTTGAGAGAACTGTGCTAGAGCCAGATAAATTAAATGTTCCTACTGACATAATCTATTAGGTTTGAGGCTCACACAGGAAAAAATGAGTATGACTGTATATTTGAATGTTGCTGAAGTCTATATTAGAAGGGGTGCAAAATGTCCAGGTGATTGCTATACCATGCTGTTTTCTTTTATACTGCAGAGCTGATGCAAACAGAAGTGCATCACATCCATACCCTGTTCATTATGTCTGAAATATTCAGGAAAGGTATGAAGGAAGAACTGCAGCTGGACCACAGCACAGTAGACAGAATATTCCCCTGCTTAGATGAGCTACTGGAGATGCACAGGCAATTCTTCTGCAGAATGAAGGAGAGGCGGCAGGAATCATGTGAGACAGGGAGCCAACGTAATTTTGTCATCAACAGAATTGGAGACATCCTTGTGCAGCAGGTAGAGGCATCGGCTTTGTTAATCCTTTATGTACTCAACACTCCCAAATTAAACAATTTATTGACTTTAAAACTTTTGTGGGCAAGAAGCCAGTTGTGGTTGCCTCATAGAATGAAAAGACTGTCCCCTCAGGTTATTGTAGGGTGAAATAGTTATAAGAGAAAATCATTACAGACAGGTAACTGTGATGAGCATGGGATGAACTTCTACCTATATGGTACAAGTGATGAGGAAAGTGATGAACTTGGTCCTTTTCACGGTAGAAGGCTCCTGCTGTCATACTATGGACTGCAAAAAATGGAAGCAACGGACTAATTTTTTTAACAGCTGAGCAGAGGTATGAAGAATTTGCTGATGATGGAAAAGAAACTATCCTGTTCATTTCTTGTAGTGATCTGGCATGGTGCATCTTGAGTTGCCATTCACTAGAGAAGGGGTTGTCACAGCGTGTCTGTGGTGGCAGTAGAACAGCAAACTAACTGATTGCTGGTCACACTTCAGTTCCTTGCTATCAGGAGAGTGTGGGTTTTCACCTTCAGTCATTCAGTTTTCACTCCACTGAAATAAAGAAGCTGAACTGTGATCTTGTCTAGAAGCAGTGTGGAGATCAGACAAATGCAAATAAGCCTCAAAGGGATTGTGTTTGCAAAGAAGCGAAGGAAACATCGTTATAATAATTGTTCTAGCTGTTATTGGCAAGACTGAGTAGAGGTTGCTCGTGCTCTCTCCAGCCTACGTTCTTCTTGCTCCTGAAAACAGCTAGCCCATTTTTATTCTGTAGTGACAGGCTCTGTTAGTGAAATTCAGAGAGCTTGCGAGAGAAGTAGCATAAAAGTTCTGTATTTGTTCAAAATACATTAATTAAAGGTATACAGTTTCTTGTTAGGTGCAATGTTAAGCACAATTCACTTATTAATTTCTTCAGTTTTCAGAGGAAAATGCAACAAAGATGATGAAAATATATGGAGAGTTTTGCAGCCATCAAAAAGAAGCTGTTAATCTCTTTAAAGAGTTGCAACAACATAAGAAGTTCCAGAATTTTATTAAAGTAAGTTTACATGGAAATGTGAGCGCTATTGACAAAATGCTCAGGAAAAAGATATGTAGCTTTTACTTAGATTTAGGACTGAAATTGTATTCAGTAACTCACTTTTAGTAGCTACAAAAAATGGCAAAGTTTTTTCCTCCTTAACCAGTGAGCTGATAAATTACATTTTTCTTTCAAATTTGAGAGAACTTTGGCATCCAGTGTGTATTACACACATGTTCCTGTTATAGTACACCTCATCCCTCAGGGCTGTTCCTTGGGGATGGTTCAGATAACCCAGCATTTTGTTTTAGCTTATCCTAATGCATTTAGATCATATTTCTTATTAGTCAAGTGGTGGTGTAATATGCATTTACTACTTCAGGTATATATTTCTATCTGTGCAGCTGAGAAATAGTAACCTGTTGGCACGACGCCGAGGAATCCCGGAGTGCATTTTGCTTGTCACCCAGCGAATCACCAAATACCCCGTTCTGGTTGAAAGGATACTGCAATACTCAAAAGGTGAATAAAAGCTAAAGTGTTGCTTCATGTCTGGAATCCTAGCACATTTCTGGCGTAAGGAATGTGCACTGCTGCAGGATAACAAAAGATGAAATTCACTGCTCTGTAGAGAACCAGGGCAATGTCAATATCTACTGTTCAGACAAATGTCACCCTGTTTAGGGGTGTCTGGTCTATGTAGTCTTTGCCAAGGCTGGTCTGTGAAGATTTCCAGTATTCCAGCTGGGTACGCCATACAAGTGCAGAAAAGTGTGCTTGTTTTAGGAGAAGATCTTGACTAGAGGATGGGAACTGATTTGGGCATGCATCTATGTGTTCTTTGATATTAATTCTGGTGGAGTTTCTTGTAAGTAGGGTTAGGCAAACATTTCGTAAATTACTTTCCAGTTTTTCAAACAAAGCTTGAATGATCCCTGGAATTTCATAGAGCATTTTAGAAATACTAATAACTTACAGATATTGCCACCCAAATGGGCAATAAATGAGCACAGTAGAAAGTTGCATATCCAAATGCAAACCCTTTGTGCTTTCAAGGGTTTTTTTTTACATAGCCAGAACAGTAATATACTATATGATTTACTTAGCCAGTAAAACTTTTTAAATGCTAACAGCTCATAAATTTGTCAGAAACTATTCAACATGTTGTTTTGGCTAATGAATAAATCTTGGGTACATGACATCTTTTAATAGACAAGTCAAACGAAGGTAGAGGCCTCTAATATTTCTAGTAAATTGATTACCAGGTTCGACTTAAAATTACATGTTTATCAATTTAAGCTTTGCATCATGTTGATTGTTCCCAGAAAGTAAGGAATGATATCTTCTCTTGAATATGCTGACTACTATTATGTTTATATTTTCTTTGATACAGAAGGAACAGAAGAACATAAAGACCTGTGGAAAGCCCTTCGTCTAATTAAGGACCTGATTGCAGCAGTAGATTTGAAAGTGAATGAATATGAGAAAAAGCAAAAGCTATTGGAAATTCTCAGCAGAACTGAAAACAAAACATATACAAAGCTGAAAAATGGCCATGTTTTTAGGAAGCAAGACTTGATAGTGAAAGAGAGGATACTTCTTCATGAAGGCTTAGTGTTCTGGAAGACAGCGACTGGTCGTTTCAAAGGTATTTCATCCAAGCAATAAAGTCCTTTAGCTTTTTATATGCAAATAACATATGAAGATTGTTTGGTTTGAGAATGAAAATACTTCATTATGCTGTATTGCAAACACAAATTTCTAAGGTAATGGTGTTGAGAATATGCCACTAATTGCTAGAAGAGTTGTTCTAGAAGCTGCCATGGTTTGTGGGTAATCCACTGGGTAAGAAGACAAGTTCACATACAAAGCCATCAGCTGCATATCTTTTCAAGATAAAAGAAGAAATTAATGATAATTGTAATAACTTTAATTGAAAAACATTATTTTCCTTTTCTCATTTTAAGATACCTTAGCTCTTCTTCTAACTGATGTGCTACTGTTCTTACAAGAAAAAGATCAAAAATACATCTTTGCAGCTGTTGTAAGTATATTATCAGATGTTTGAATATATACATTGCACTTTCATTTGTTTATTTCTTGAAAATCAGGTGCTTTTCTAGGTTATTCCCACATAATGTAGCTTTTTGGGGTTGTTTTTTTTTGGTCTAAAATCCTGGTAGTGTATTCAGAACAGTAATATGCCAGTATATGGAAAATCAAGTTTATTTTTCAAAAAATAAATAAGAAGGATGAAAATATGATATTTTTAGTGTCATCACTCATCTGACTATGAAGGCAGAAAGTAGAACAGGCTCTTTCAGTTATCTAAAATAACTTTTTTTAACTTCTGTTTCTGTAAAACAAAACAGAGGAATAATTTTAACTGAAAATGTAGTAGTAAACACACATAAAATGTATGAGAGGTCATGGAAAGAAGTTCCCAAACTATATAAATATAATCATTACGTGGATACTGTGCCTCAGTGTCATTGAGCCAAACTATATAAATATAAACATTACATGGATACTGTGCCTCAGTGTCATTGAGCCTCTGGGATTTACTTTCTAGCACATATCCAGTGCTTTACTTGTTCATAAAGACTATAATGTATTTTTTAAAATAGTTTAAAAATATGTCTGAATATTCAAAACTTGCAGCCTAAACCTGGTGAGAACATACGTAGTTTGACTACAGCAGGGCTAGAATTAGTCCAATTAATTGAAAAAATGTGCTCTTCTAGAAGTGTGATGTTTTCTAAGAGAGTAATTTATTATTTGCATGTGCTGTGACTGTTTCCCCCAGGACCAGAAGCCTTCCGTTATCTCTCTTCAGAGGCTCATAGTAAGAGAAGTAGCCAATGAAGAAAGGGGGATGTTTCTGATTAGCGCTTCATCTGCAGGGCCTGAGATGTATGAGGTTCATACCAACTCCAGAGAGGAACGTAACAACTGGATGAGGCATATTCAAGATGCAGTGGAAAGGTAGAGGAAAAGGCTTTTGGTTTTCATCCTGGCTCTCCAAAGCGGATGGGAGGTCGGTGGGATATTTGTGGCAGCGTGCGCTCTGTTCTGTATTGCACTAGATCCATCCTCTGAGGCTGGGTTTTCCTCTGAGCTCAGGATTCACAGACCCCAAAACCTCACCATCTCTTCTGCCAGACTTCCCATCTTGCTTCTGGTTGCACACTGGATCAGCAGACCCTTCCCATGCCCCATTAGATGTCCTTACCAGCCACTGTAAGCTTCCCTCACCTGTGCCTTTGGTACTAGATACCTTCCAGAGTCCTGCAGGTATCCATACAACCATTTTGGGGAAATCCCCAATCATGCCTGTTGTCTTGGTGTCAGCTCCTTAAGAATGTCAGGGAAAGCATTGCTCCTCATGGGGCCCAAGCTTATGCTTAGCATGGCAAACCTGCGTGAGAGCCAGCCACCCATTTGCTGCAAGACTGCAGCCTCACCAGAATTGAAAGGAGTCCTTCAGTCTGGTTTATGTTCAGTTACTGCTTTTTAAAGAAGCAGACAAATGGTGTGCTTCTGGGTTGTAGCAAAAGTTGGTGCTGATGTTGTGTTGTCTTTATTATGAATGCAACAGTGTACTGAGGTTGAATGTATGATATGCAGATTTTGCTTTATCCACCTTCATTTGTCTTTCATCTTTGAAGTTGTCCAGAGGAAGAAGGAAAAAAGAGTGAATCTGATGAGGACAGACGTATTGCTGAGGCCAAAGCATCCAGAATTCAGAAATGTCAAGGTGTGGTACCTTTCCTGCCACTCTGAGAGCTCCTGCATCCTGAAAGTTCAGGATAAATGAATTACACACCCACACTGGCTGTTGGGTTCAGAGTGGCTCAATAGGCAGAGTCACAACGGAGAAAGCTGGGGTGGTGTGGTGGTATATAATGTGAGTTTATTGAATGCGAACCTGTTTTTTTTTCCAAACATTTCATATTTTTGTGACATTACTGTAAGTAAAAAAAAAAAAAAAAAAAAAAAAAAAGAAAAATGGATGCCTTCAAAATAAACACTGAATTTCCCAGATTAGCATCAGGGCCAGGCAGTTCCATCTTTGTGGAATTACCTCAAATCTTCAGTAATTGTGTGGTTTTGTGCCTGTTCATCGCATTTCATCTTTTGCTGCTATTATTTTTATCTGAAAATGTAGCTGATAGGGACAAATTCTGCTTCTTTGGTTCCCCTGCACCAAACTTCCACATCTGTATACTCTTGTGAGGACAGAAATTCCACCATTTTTTACTGGAGAGAGCCACAGGGAAGGGCATCCTCTGCTGAGTGTAGGTTTTCTTCTTTGACGTTGAGGCACAGAATCAGCGCATCTTCTGGTTGCCTGAGCCAAGTGCTTTTCCAGTGTTGATCATTGTGAGTGCAACAGGAGTGAGCTGAGAGCCCCAGAGTGCAGCCAAGGCCACCTTATCAGGGTAGGGCACTGGCCTGCCCCTCTGCCAGGGTCTGTGCCAGCTTTAGGATAGGTTATGGGATGAGTTTGGTTCCTGGCCATTTAAAAAAAGCCTAGCTCAAGTTAGCAAGGTCTATGTAGCATAAGGATTAGAAGGGTGAATGGGGCACATGCTTTGCCTGCAGGATAAAAAAATATTAATATGGTATTCAATTTTCGTTGACAGAATCACTGAGTAACCAGGACCAGCAGATCTGTAGTTATTTGGAAGAGAAGTTGCACATCTATGCAGAACTGGTAGATATGAACGGGTTTGAGGATGTTCATATAGAACCTCACCTCCTTATCAAACCTGATTCTGGAGAAACACCACAGGCTGCTTCATTGTTGGCAGCAGCACTCAGAGAAGGTGAGTCTGAATGGGAAGAGTGGACTGCTGGCTCTTCATGTGCGCAGATGATTCAAGGTAACAAAGTACGGCAGTGTTGCCTCGTGCTGTGATTCTGTCAAGTCTCAAGAAATGGCAGTGTCAAAACTTGGCAAAGGGCATTGAAGAGAAGTCTCTCAAGTTTATGCTTGTCAGATGCATGAGATGGTACCTGCCAGATTGTAAGATAAGGGCTATGTTTAGTGTGTAACATCATATGTAAGCAGACAGGGACATGGTGTTAGATTGCACCTGAAGATTGTTTCCTTAGCTGTCCTCCTTGCAGCACACCCCTGTGAAGCAGATCACAGGATGCAGTATGATATTGCATCTGGTCCCTGACCTTCACCTACCTTGGTTGATTTGATGACAGATCAGAATCACGTAGGGTCATATACAGTCCAAACTGCAGATGATCTTGGCAGATCTGCCAAGAAACACCTGCCAGAATTGCTGTAGGAGCTGTGTTTTTTCTGCATACTATCTAACGGAGAGAAGGGAATGGTGTTTGTGGATACCTTGTCTAGTTAGAAGTTCAGCTAAAGTGCTAAACTCAGCTGAAAAGAGTCCTGGTAAACTGAGTCGTGTCCAGCATAGGCTGTACGCTCTTCAAGAAGGACTGCAAGATTTTAGGACCACCTAAATTGATAGCTGTGGGCTAATAACCACACTTCACCCAATAAAGCAGTGAAGGTTGGTGTCCATCATCATTATTAGGTTGGAGAGCATTTTACTGGTAAAATTGATAAAACTTGGGTACGGATTATACGTCAGTGATGAAATAGTAAATGTCATTTTAGCTAAAATGGCAGCCTATAATTACACACCTTATTCTGCCCTTTCACTTTCTCTCATGTTAATGTTGATGTTGATGATGTCTTGGATTTTGGGACTCTTTGGCACACTGTAAGGAATTTACAGTTGCTTACACTGTAGGCAGTTTGTGGGGATCATTTTCCAGAACAGAAATACTAAGTCACTGAGCTAACAGCAGACTCTATAGGAATAAAGCATCACTCCCACTAGTAAAGGATAGAATTAGGGAGTGCTTAAGCAAATTGGATATACACAAATCCATGGGATGAGACGGGATAAATCCAAGGCTGCTCAGGGAGCTGGCCAACATCATTGTGAGGCTGTTTTCTGTCATCTTTGAAAGGTCACAGTGATCAGGAGAGGTTCCTGATGACTTGACGAAGGCAAGCATCACAACCCTCTCAAGAAGGAATATATAGGAAACTACAAAATAGCCTCGCTACCGTCTCTGAGATGGTGATAGAGCAAATCCTCCTGGAAGCCATTCCAAGAACACAAAGGACAAGAAGGTGACTGGGAACAGCCTGCATGGATTCATCAAGGGCAAATTGTGTCTGACCAACCTGATAGGTTTTATGATGAGAGGAGAGCAGTACATGTTGTTTATCTTGACATTTGCAAGGTCTTTGACACTGTCTGCACTAGCTGTAGTATCCTTACAGCTGAATTGGTGAGATGTGGACTGCATAACTGGGTGGAAAATTGGCTGCACTGCTGGGCTGAAAGAATTGTAGTCAGTGATGCAATGTCCATCTGGCACCAAGCTATTAGGGTATTCCTTAGGGATGGATCCTGAGACCAGTAGTGTTCAACATATTTATTAGTGAAGTTAACCAAGAGATTCAGTACACTGTTAGCAAATTCATGGCTTTCACCAAATGAAGCGGGATGATCAGTGTGCTGGAGAGACCTCTACAGATTGGAAAAATGGGCTAAGAGAAACCCCTAGAAGTTTGACAAAGACAAGTGCAAAGTCCTGCATCTGGGATGGAGTAATCCTATGTGTTGGTATAGGCTGGAGAGTGACTAGATAGAAAAGAGAGCTTTGCAGAGGTGGACCTGGGAGTCCTACTTGACAGCAGGTTGACCATGAGGCAGCAATGTGCCCTTGTGCCAAAGAAGGCCAACTGCCTCCCAGGCTGCTGCATTAGAAGGAGAGTTGCCAGCAGGTTGAGGGAGGTGATCCTTTCTCTACTCGCCCCTGGTGAGTCCTGTCTGGAGTGCTGTGATCAGTGCTGGGCTCCCCTGGACAAGAGAGATGTTGACAAACTGGAGCAAATCCAGCAAAGGGCACCAAGATGACTAGGGGGCTGGAGTACATGATATCTGAGGAGAGGCTGTTCAGCCTTGAGAGAAGAAGGCTTGGTAGGATCTCATTGCTGTCCTCAGCTGCCTAACAGGAGGATACAGAGAAGCCAGATTTTTTGCAGGGGCACATGGTGATAGGACAAGAGGCAGCAGGCTCATGTTGGAACAGAGGCTATTCCAGTTAAATGAAAGGAAAAATTACATACCGTGAGGGTGGTCAAAAACTAGAACAGGTTGCCCAAAGAGGCTGTGAAGTCTCCATTTTAGGAGATGTTAAAAGCTTGTCTGTGCAAAGCTCTGAGCAAGCCAGTTTAGTTCGGCCAGCTTTGAACTAGGTGACCTCTGAAAGTCCCTTCCAACCTAAATTATTCTATGATTCTGTGTCATTGATTTATGCATTAAAGAGCTATTTAAGGAACCTCTGTAATTCTGCGTGTTTTCCTCTCTAGTTGAAAGTCTCCATGTTGCTGTAATGACATCACAAATGAGTGAAACAGACAGATCACGAGAGGAATTAAATGTGAAGCACGGATTTAGTGCCAATGAAATCTTGGAATTTGTTCCTGGTGGTGAGTAAAATTTGATGCTTTTGCATATTCAGAGTGCTAAAATAATTGATACCGGACTGGTTTTTTGGAAAGCTTTCTCAGTCTATGGCAGAATCAATAGAGAATAATGTAAAAATAATTGTCTTTGGGCAAATGCTCCAATAGTGTAAATTGTCCTATAACTTCATTGAAGTAAATGGATGGTTTGCATCTACTGCACCTTTTCCGTACCACATGCCTGCATTCAGCAATATTGAGTCAGATTTACGTATCTCCCTATGCTTTCTCGTCGTTCTTGCTCAGCTCCAAAGCAAATCTATATTGCAGTATAGGCCATTTCCCAAGTCAGCCAATTTTTGTCAGAAGGCCTGAACACCAGGACTGACGTTCCATTAAGTCCAGCTGTAAAAGGTAGCATGGATTTCTTGCAACAAAAATGCAAATAAAGTCCTGTAAGAAACATTGCTGCAAAGCATTTTTAGTGATATGGCTATACTTATTTCCAAACTTTCATAAGGGAAACATTATTAATTTTTAAGGTAAGAAAACTGGATTGTCCCACATGTGCAATCCTGGCTTCCAAATTTGTTTTTCTGTAGCCTAGAATCCATTATGTAACTCCAAATTGTGTAAATCTCTATTTTCAGCATCCTGTGCATAGCTGTAAAAAAGTGTGCCCTTTGTTTCTCTAGTCAGAATATGCTTTGATACCTTTCTCTTGCATTTTATTGGTGCCTTACTTGTTAGATGCAGACATAAAAGAAGTTGAAGAATCATCTGAAGTCCATCTCACTTTTGAAAAGGAAATGGCAGATGCCAATCTAGAGGATGAGGTATTGTAACTGATTTTTCTTCCTGTGTTGCACATACCACTCTGGACACTGGGAATGTAAATGCTGTCCAAATTTTTATGGGGTATCTAAAGACTGTTCCAAAACACAAAGCAATAAATAGGCACATTTCACCCAAATCAAGATAATTCAATTTAATAGAGGTCACTGCAATTAATAATGAATTTAAAAATGCAATCATAAACAATCCAAAAGCAGAACAATTTTCCTGCCAGGGTTACGGATTGGTGGGTTGTAATTACAGCCACAGTGTTTTCGTACCACTTGTATGAGCCACTTAAGAGCCTGGTTCTCTGCTGTCATCATTCAGTACATCCATCTCTACGGAGCTGACAATAGTATTCCCTCTACTCCCTCCTCCTATTCACAGGATGATGAAAGTCTCCTGCAATGACAGAGACAGAGACCTCAGCTAATGCAAGGAAGACTTACACATTGGAAGAACTTCATCCTGAGAACAAGCACATAAAATAGGATGGATTGTCTTACACCGGCTTGCTTCAGGATTTTGAATTAAAACAAAATGGAGCAATTAGAGAACAGAAGAGACACTGCCCATTTTTCAAAGTCCTATAACTCATAAGCAAATCTGGGGGAAAAGCAGAATCAAAAGTCAGTCCTGGGCAAAATTAGGAATGGCAAATTTCACGTAGCAGCAGAGTGTTAGAGTAAGAGCTGTATCAGTTACTCTGTGGAAACAGAGTGAAGTGCAATTGTGGAGTCCTTAGGTGGAGGAGCATGACAAAAAAGGAATAAACAGGAGAGACAAGAGTAGAAGATACATGACCTGAAATGGAAAGCAAAGTTTGCTAGAAAAGGAGATACTTAGTGTTAGTATACTGTCTTTGCATCAGATCTGAAAGAAGGCTTGTGTGCCTGGAACCTTGGAGGTTTTTTTCTAGCTGTTTCTGGAAGACTTTTGGTAATACACTAATCAACCCATAACCTTACCTCACGTTCAGCTGCAGGTCATCTTACTTACCAGACTGCTGTCTTAGAAGGGAGTAGGAAAAAGAGTGTGTGTGTAAAAAATGGGATGAAAACAAAAGTCCAAGCAAGGGAGCACAGAAGCTAGGTGAGGGGAAATAAAATAACCTAATAGAGGATAGAGGGGCTCATATCTAGCTCATTAAAAGTTCCAGTAGCTCCACATGAAAACATTGCTATTGGGGTTATGGAGAAAACAGAGACAGGCTTTTCTTGAGAGGTGCACAGCAAAAAGATGAGCATCCAAGACTACAGGTTGCAGCAAGGGAAATTCTGACTATATAAAGCAAAAAAAAAGTCACCATGGGGGTGATGAAGCAGGAACAGGTTGTCCAGAGAGGTTGTGGGGTCTCAATTCTTGGAGATTTCCTGGATTTGACTGGAGAAGGCCCTGACCACCCTCCTCTAACTTTGAAGCTAGCCCTGCTTTGAGCTGCAGCTGGACTAGAGGGATCTGCAACAAACTCCTCTACCCTAAGTTACTTTTCTGTTCTGGCCTATAATTTGGCCAAGACTTATGTCACTTCTTACCATGTTGGAATTAGATTTACCAGGAGGTGGCAGAACGAGCAAACAAAACAGACAAGGCAAGGGCTTTCAAGGGTGGAGGATGTTCTCCTGCCTGCCTTTGGTGGCGGGGTGTGCAGTCCTGGGCTTGTGGGATAGCAGCACCGGGCTCAGACCAGCTAGCCAGGGAAGCCAAGAGCTGGACAGCCAGAGCAAAAGCCCCCAGCTCGGGGGTTAGATGCTGACCAAGCATCAGAAGGAAGAGCG